GGCTTTTAATTTTTGCAACATGTATTGCTTTTTCTATTCCTTAATTTTCTCAGATAACATCTTTTACCATTCTATATGTTTTATTCTATGCAAATATTTATTTTTTTCACTACAAAGCTATCTCTTAAGACTTTAACATATGTCTAAGGTAGTCTTACTTTCTCCATCTCTCTGTTTCTCTCTTTTAAAAAATGCTTAAATATCTTAAAAGTAATTAAAGTATCTTTAGCTTTTTTCTTCTAGTAGGCTAGCATTTAGGTATTCCTTTTATATTATTCTACTATTTTTTGTGTATTTCACCAGTATACAAGACTACACATGAAGATATGTTTAGGAAAGCTGGGTGAGCATCCATATTAGTACATCTAATTACTGTCATTTCATGCTTATAATGTGCAAATGGTCTGATGAAAAGCGGCAGCCTTGTTTGTGGTCTTATTCAAGGAACTCAAGCTATGTGCTGCCAACACAGTGCTGTTTTCATTCCGAGGACTCTCCTACTGCGTCCTTTCTTCCATCTTTGCTGAAGGCTTAAAATCTTCCCAGCTCTTTCTGTCTCATGGTGCCAAGTAAAGAAGATATCTAGAGTCCAAAATTGAATAGAGTTTAGTTTTTTTTTTTTGGTTTTGGGTACTGGGAATTGAACCTGGGGTGCTTTACCACTGTGCTACATCCCCCAGTGATTTTTATATTTTTTACTTTGAGATAAGGTCTCTTAAATTGCTTAGGACCTTGCTAAGTTGCCGAGACTGGCCTCCAACTTTCATCCTCCTGGCTGAGCCCTCTGAGTTGCTGGGATTATGGGGGTGCATCACCATACCTGTCTTTTTTTGGGGGGGCGGGGGCGGTGTACCAGGGATTGAACTCAGGGGCACTTCACCACTGAGCCAAATCTCCAGCCCTATTTTATATTTTATTTAGGGTATCATTGAGTTGCTTAGCACCTTGCTTTTGCTGAAGCTGGCTTTGAACTCTTGATCCTCCTGCCTCAGCCTCCCGAGCTGCTGGGATTACAGACATGTGTCACTGCTCCCACCACTGTATCTGTCTTTGAATAAAATTTTTGAATAGGGAAATTGTTTTAAGGATAATTAAATGGTTGGACATTTAGTAGAGGATGGTTTTTACATCCTAGGGATATTAGAGCATACTGGAAAATTACTTTTTAAAAATATGTGATTAGTTTGAGAACTATAATTATTAAATTTGCTTGTTACTCCATTATGAACTTATATATGTGGCAGGCATAAGGGTGAATTAGAGCCCCCTATATTCGAAGAAGCAATTTATCATAAGGTGGGAACAATAGTTTTGACAAAACATTATAAATGGTTCTATAAAGTGATAATTGATACCAATCTAGAAATGAATTTGAATGTAGGTGTCAAGGCAGATTCTGTAAACTAGTCCTAACTTCCTGGAGCCTGGTATGGTCCACAACACTCAAAACATGTCCATACCTGTGTATTACCCTTCTTAGACTACTGCATAAATGACCCAATCCCTTTTCAAGGTATAGCCCTTGAAATGCACACTTGTGTGAAATGTTATTTTTCCTCAAGATATACAGGAAAAAAATATTTAATTCAAATGATGGACAGTTTTGTGATTTTTGTGATCATTTTTTCTTTAATGGTGGTGGAGCTATAACTAGCACTAGATTTTCATGCTAGGCAAGTACTCTCTTACTGAGCTACATCACCAGCCCTGTGGTCAAAGTTTTAACCTACTGAAAGAAAAGAACATTATACATGTAATTTATATATTTACATAAATGTAAATTCACATACCTATGTAATTTGGCTATGTAAATCAGCTCTGCTCTAGGAAAAGAATAAGGGGGTTGTGGTATGCGTGTGGGGGGTAAGGGTCAGGAGTAGGAGTAGGTGGCAGTTCATTTACTCAATCCTAATTTTTTTTTTACTTATGAAAGATTCTTACTGAATGAAAACTAAGTTGATTTCCTAACCAGAATTATTTTGTTATAATGGAAGAGACCCAGCATTGGTGTATTATTGATGCCAAATATGACTGCATAAAGCTTTATTAAACAGGGCGTGGTTTGCTTGTGAGTTTCATTTTTATTTTCAATTTGCAGGTTTCAAGATAAGTGTCAGACAGGAAGATGCTTATAACTAGTAATTCACACAGCCAGTTATTTGTCTAGTCTAGATGAAATTCGGTGGCTCCTGCCCAGAATAAATGAAATTGAAATTGAACTTAAGAAAATTAAAATTAGTGCATTTCACATTTAAAATATAGGTTTGCTCATAATTTCACAAAAGGGGAAAACAGTTGTAAATATACTCAGCATTTAAGGAAATGAATGATAATGACATAGCATTTACTTAGTGCTGTGTCTACCCATATCCTGTTTTTTCTTCCTCTGCATCTCAATCAGTTTCTTTAGAAGACTGAGAGTCTCCACTGTATCCTCTTTCTCCTCTGAATTCCTGAGAGTAGTTCCTCTTTGGAGTGTTCTCCTAGGATGACTTCTCTCTAAAGCTCCTGGGGGGGGGGGGKGAACTCATCTGCTTTATGATCTGATACTCTCAGCACACTATTTCTCAGGCAGAGCTCTCCTCAGAGCTCCAGGCTATCAATTAGGTGTCTCAGACATCTCAAGTTGACATACTGAGCTAAATTCATGATTTCCTGTAAATACTTAATCTGCCTTCCACTTCTAGACTCTATAAGCTTCCCTCGAATCCATGCATGCAAGAAATATCCCTTTCTCCCATCTTCAGAGCCACCAACTCTCCCTGTTTATTCTACTGCAGATTTCTTCAATCTGCCCACCTTCCTCTCTCCACCCACCTTCCTACTGCAGGTCACTGTCACCTCCCAGCTCCATTGCAGATCTCTTGCTTTCCTTGTTCTATTTTCTCTTTATTTTTGGTACTGGGGATTGAGCTTGGGGAGCATTGGACCACTGAGCCACATCCCCAGCCCTATTTTGTATTTTATTTAGAGACAGGGTCTCACAGAGTTGCTTAGGCCCTTGCTTTTGCTGAGGCTGGCTTTGAACTTGAGATCCTCCTGAGCCTCTGGGATTATAGGCGTGTGCCACTGTGCCCAGGTTATTCTTCTCTTTCTTTCTCTTTTTCTTTTCTTTTCTTTTTTTTTGGAGACAGGGTCTCCCTACATAGCCACAGGTTGGACCTCAAAGTTGTGATCTCTTGCCTCAGCCTGCAGAGTAGCTGGGATTACCAGAGTGTACCACCATACCTCGCTGTATTCCCTTCCTAATGCTTTCCCCAAAGAGCATGAAACTTAGTTTTCTTAAGGTTGCAAATGACTTGTGCCAGACTCCCAAACTGTTTTTCTGTGCCACTCCCAGCTTGCTCTCACTCCAGCCACACCTTTTCTCCTGTAACTCCTGCAGACTAAATTCTTTCCTGCCTGGGATCTTTCTGTCTTGCTTGGGGTTCCCCGTCAACCACTTCCTCCCACTCCCTCATCCCACATTTCTTCTCTGCTCTTCCCTCACCCTGATGCTCCTGAAGGCCCACTTTAGAATCTTGTTTACCCATTTAAAAAAAAAAAATTTTACTTTTTAGTTGTAGTTGGACACAATACCTTTATTTATTTTTATGTGGTGCTGAGGATGGAATCCAGGACCTGGCATGTGCTAGGCGAGCGCTCTGCCACTGAGTCACAACCCCAGCCGGTTGTTTACCTCAATTTATTGTGAGTTTCTGGAAGATCATTTCCCTGACTGCTTTTTCTTAAGGAGGCTTCTCTTCCCCATTCTTTAAAGACAGCTTCCCTAGAGAAAATTCCTGTTATCTTAAGGAACTCTGCTCTCCTTCATCCCTTAGAGAGAACTTTCCTTTATCCGAAGAAGATCTCCTCTCCCTATTCCCAAATAATCTTTCTTGGCCAATTGTTGGTTCTCTTCATTATAATATGAGTAATTTGTTTCTTTGTTGGCTAGTTTCTTGCCTCCAGGGGAATATGCACCCCACTGAAAGCAGGTGTCCCTAGTTCTGCACTGCCTTTATGTAGAGGAGATGCTCAATTCACACCTTTTTTGAATGAATAAAACACAACAAAAGACAGCATTTTCTTATACTTAAGTTTTTTTGGCTACTGATTATTTTGTCTTCAATTTATTTTATGCTAATAAAAAATGAAATAGTAGTCATACATAATCTTTGACCAGAAAGCCACTAGATTACTCTTGTGAAGAGAAATTTTTCAGTCACCATTAAATGAAAGGATCGAGATACAATAGTTCTAAACAAAGATAATTTTTTTTAAAATGGAAAAATGGTGATATTTATAATTATCATACTTTGTAATAATCTATGTAGACTTATTTATTTTGCTCTGCAAAATATAGAAAGTACATAACAGGGCACTAAATTACAATTAGGTGTCGGAAGTTCTGGTGTTCTGTTGCACTGTAGGTTGACTATAGATAACAGTGTACTCTATACTTCAAAAAGCTAGAAGAAAGAAATGTGCATGTTTTCACCTAACAGAAATGATAAAATGCTTGTGGAGATAAATATGTTCACTCTGATTTAAATATTACATAAAGTATACTTGTGTCAAAATGTATTACCGTGCCTCATAAATATACACATTTTTTATATACCATTAAAATTACATTTAAATTCAAAAAATGAATATCAGATCACATAAATTGACATAAAACTTCCTTGACTTTAGGTAGCATACGTTTTTGAAACAGCTTTATTGAGATATGTGACATACAATAATTTGTACATATTTAAAGTGTACAATTTGACCAATGTGCATTTTTAAATGAATGTAGCCCTGAAGTTATCATGTGATATTTTTTAGATGAAGTAGACCAAATAGTACATGTATGTAAGAGAATACCAAATGAACAAGGAAAATTATGCCCTCTGTGAGTAGTTTTTAAAAGTAGTTGTGGATAATATCAAGAGAATGATTCCTCCTCATAAATTATAAGATATTGCTGATGCTTGGTGTCAATTAAAATATTGTCCATCCCTTTTGTATTTTAGTAGGATGTTTCTTCTGGTGGGAGCTCCCAAAGCAAACACTACCCAGCCTGGGATTGTAGAAGGAGGGCAAGTGCTCAAATGTGACTGGTCTTCTAGCCGCCGGTGCCAACCAATTGAATTTGATGCAACAGGTAAATGTTGATACTGTGGCCTGTTCTCTTAATTTACATTATTTGTTTTTTTTAAAATGTTTTTTTAAAGTAATATTTGTTGTGTTAATAAAGTAATGAATATAATCACCACAGACCCTCAGGGATAGTTTATAAGAACAAATAATTTGTGTATGATTTCCTCCATAATTTTGTAGCATAAGAAAGCATTAAAACTACATCATTTCTGGACTCAAACTAAAAAGCTTCTTCTCAGCAAAAGAAACAATGAGGTGAGGAGAGAGCCTACGTTTTTGGACAAATTTTTGCCACACACACATTAGATAGAGCACTAATATCCAGGATGTATAAAGAACTCAAAAAATTTAACAACAACAACAAAAACAAACAACCCAATTAATAAATGGGCTAAGGACAGACATTTCTCAGAAGAAGATATATATTTGATCAAGAAATATATGAAAAAATGTTCAACATCTCTAGTAATGAGAGAAATGTAAATTAAAACTACTCTAAGATTTCATCTCATGCTAGTCAGAATGGCAGTTATCAAGAATACAGACAATAGGGGCTGGGGATGTGGCTCAAGCGGTAGTGTGCTTGCCTGGCATGCGCGCAGCGCTGGTTTCGATCCTCAGCACCACATACAAATAAAAAGAATACAGTCAATAATAAGTGTTGACGAGGATGTACAGGAAAAGGCACATTCATACACTGCTGGTGGGATTGCAAATTGGTGCAATCAATCTGGAAAGCAGTATGGAGATTACTTAGAAAACTTGGAATAGAACCACCATTTGACTCAGCTATCCCACTCCTCAGTCTATACCCAAAGAACTTAAAATCAGCATACTATAGTAACGTAGCCACATCAATCTTTATAGCAGTTCAGTTCACAATAGCTAAACTGTGTAAGCAACGTAGATGCCTCTCAATAGATGAATGGATAAAGAAACTGTGATATATACACACATACACACACACACACAAACACACACACACGCAATGGAATATTACTCAGTATTAAAAGGGAATAAAATTATAGCATTTGCAGGTAAATGGATGGAGTTGGAGAATATCATGCTAAGTGAATAAGCGAATCCCCCAAAACCAAAGGCAGAATGTTCTCTCTGATAAATGGATGCTGATCCATAAAGCGGGGAGGGGAGGCATGTGAAAAATGGAGGAACTATGATTGGGCAAAGGGGAGGGTGCATGGGGGCAGGAAAGATGGTAGAATGAGATGTCCATCATTACCCTAGGTACATGTATGACTGCATGTATGGTGTGATGCTACATCCTGTATAACCACTGAAATTAAAAGTTGTACTGCAGTTGTGTACAATGAATCAAAATGCATTCTGCTCTCACATATACCTAATTAAAAATAAATAAATTAATTAAAAAAATATATCATTTTCGTTGCTTTAGATGTCTTCCAATTTAAATTGATAGTGTTGGTGCAGAAATTTAAGGGACATCTATTAATGTGGTTTTGCATTTCTTCTAAGAAAAAGGAGATCATAGGCCCAGAAAGCTTTTTGTCATTTCTCTGTCTGCCAGATTGAAGTATGACTTACTGATCATTATGGAAGATTAAGCTCCCTGATCATGACTTCTTCCAAGCCTTGGGCTGTGCTACAGAAACCAGCTGAGGAATCTTTTATATTCAAGTAGATTTAGGTGACTCAAAACAAACAAACAAAAATCCCTCTTATTCAGAATTCACTGGGAAAATTGTATGTTGTCTTTCTGGTAACAGGATAATTTTATCTTCAGGGAAAAATTTCAGTCAGGATTGTGATAGTAAGGAGAAAAATTGCCTAATTTAAGTTTTAATTTATATCATTGAAACTAAATATCCATAATTCTTTGTACATTTATATTGATGTATGAAAGTGCATGTATGTGTGTATATGTATGTGTGTATGCTGACATATTTACATTTGTATGAATTTAGTGACTCCTCAAAGAAATAATGTGACATTTCTTCTAGTCTAATAGTTGCCCCCATTCCATCTACCACTAAATCTTATCCCTAGTCCTAGTGTAATGGTTTTATACAATTTTTTTTAATGATTTTTGATTTGTTGCTTTGATTAGAATGCTTTAAGATAAGCCTGAATAAAACTAATCCATTTTTTACCATATTGTTGTTTCCTCCTGGTTCAAAAATATATTATTTCTGGGAATTATATCAGTGAAACAGGAATCATGATGTAGACTGTTCCATTCCATGTGAGGGATGAGTGCCAAATGACGATCAGTCATTAATCCTGTTAAGAGGAACCAAGTCACGATGGTTCTTTTCCATTTGAAATTATCAACATTAAACTCTATTTTTTTTTTCATGTGACAAAAACTTGGAAAACCTCCAGAGTTTTATAAACAGGCACAGTTTTAACACAAATAGAAAAATACCTCTTATTCAGAATATTCTGGGTCAGAGGATTTATCTTCTAATACAATATGAATATTAATAAAATGAAATGCAGTTCAATTTTGATAAGATGAAATGTTTTGATATATTTCTGTTTTCAATAACATGAGTTTTGTATATTTCAAGATAAATTTGTTGTTGTTTTTTGAAATTTGGCTTCAGATCGTATTGTATTTATTGAAAAAATAAAATATGTACATGATAATAAAAATTTCAGTCTGTCCAAAGGGGGATAAGATGAAAAACAGGATTCTTAAACTAGCTTACCCAGAGGCAATGTCTCTTTATCACAGCAATTTATCCTTCTAGAATTTTTTATACATGTATGCATCCTTAAGAAAAAAACAATTCGTAAATAGAAATGTACTGTTAGACACTGCCCCCACCTCCAGAGTTCAATCCAAGATGGCAAGCTTACTTTCAGCTTTGCTTCCTGAATAATGTTTATATTTTAGCAAGCATAAAAAAATGGAAACCTCAATGTAAAATTTATTATCATTTGGATTTGTGAAATTTGGCTTTGAAATATTTTTGTTAGTTTTCTTTTAAGCTCCTCTGACTTACCACTTACTTATCTTCTGGGTTTTTCTTTTTCTCTCTGATTTTCTTGACATATTATGTAAACAAAACCACAACTGGGATGCAAAAAAAAAAAAAAAAAGAAAAAGAAAAAGGCCCAGTTTCCTATTTTACATGTTTATGCAATGACTGAAATATCACAGCAGTTGCCTTCTTGGAATTTAAACCCTTTTATCCAGTAAATTCTCATAATTTGTAGACTTTTAACCAAGGTCTATATAATATCTGAAAACTGATTTTTCCCCCCAAATAGTCATAATAATTAGAATTTTGAGGCATTATAGAATTAGTGAAAACAAAAAGATCATTTTGGGGCATGGTTTTGTTGTTGTTTTAGGCTAAAATGACTGATCTGTAGAAAAATCACAATTTTTCTGAATTTGAACATGGAAACAGAACTGAAGCCACAGATTAGCATATGATTTAGTTTAGGAATTAATGATCTATATATTTTTGGAAGTAAATGTATTCTGAAACTATATTGGGCTGTTATATAAAACAAACAATGTGGACACTATTCATGTAGCAGACTAGGGCAGTCTAGTCTCAGTTTTGTGTATGTGCTAGTCTTCGTTTCCTATTGCTTTTGTCATAAATTAGCACAAACTCAAGTGTCTTTTCTTTTTTGGTGCTGGGAGTTGAATTTATGGCTTTGCACATGGAAAGCATATGCTCTACCACTGAGCTACACCCCCATCCCCTAGATGTCTAAAAATAACACAAATTTGTTATCTTCAGTTCTGGAAGTCAGAGGTCCAAGATGGGTGTCACTGTGTGAAAATCAGTTGTTCATAATGCTGCATATCTTCTGCAAGCTGTAGCGGGAGACTTCGTTCCTTTCCTTTTCCATGTCCTAGAGGCCACCAGTGTCCCATAGCTGGTGTCCCCTTCCTCCCATCATCAAAGCCAGCAGTGACTCCAGAGTCTTTCTTGTATTGTATCACTCTAACATGGAATCATCCATCTCCCTCTTGGGGTCACACAGATAATCCAGAGTAATCTTTCATTTTAAGTTTCTTAATTTGATAAACCTGCAAAGTCTTTTTTTTTTTTTTTTGCCATTTAATGTCACTTAATCAAGAGAAAGTTTCTGCGAATTAGGATTTGGATACCTTGGCCAGCAGGTGGAGGATTACTCTATCTACCACAAGGCCATTTTAAATATCTTGTTAATTGACATTAATTTATTCTGAAAGCTGCTTCCAGGCCAAAAAAAAAAAAAAAAAAAACAAAATCTGCTGGCTCAGATTCAGGCTTTCATACTTACTGGGTGAGACTTACTTATGTTTGCCAGCCTCAGTTTTGCCATTTGTCAAAGAACCATAATATTTACCTCTCACATTGTTGAATAGACAAAGGAAATCATGTCTTTGAAGGTATTTTGTAAACAGGAAGCACCATACATGTAAAGAAAGGATGGTTTATATCAGGCTTATAGCTAAACTAAGGGAAGGTGAATAATTAAGGAAGAGGAAAGACATAAAGATAATTATGGGTTTGGATATTAAATGGATTATATATTGGCTTACATTTTAACTTCTGTTATTGTGACATTTGGGAAAATCCTGCCCTTGCAACATATTTTCCTTTTCTAAAGGAAGCGGATGTTACTAACAGACTGATCATTACCCAATTTTCTCCACAATATGTATTTTCCAAAAAAGATAGACTGCCAGTCTCCCTGGGAAAGGAAAATATATATTACCTGGACCTGCCAAAGACTCTTTGCTTAGAAATACAGGTTAATGGTATGCTTGTGAAATATGTCCTTTAAAAATAGGAGAAGGTCCTACTTCTATATGCCAGATATGGTGTGGATGTCACCTTTTGCCCACCAGGACCATCCTAGAGAAGGTCAGAGGTCAGATTCTTTTTTGAAATATCTTGCTGCCACTCTTAGCTACTTCTTCAGAATGGCTGAGCTTTAGGCTGTGGGTGGACTGGCAGCGCTAGTTCTCTGTCAAGAAAGATGCTGTAGAGTGTTTTCTGCACATTACAAGAC